CATCGTAGTTATGATGATCAATTTCAGTGCTTTGGCAATAATCCATCGTTTTGCAATATTTTTTCTTAGGATTCAAATTTTCAAAATTTTGTAATATAGATACTTGATTATTGTTTGGCTTAAAGTTTTAGACTCTTGTACTGTAGTTACTTAAGTTTTAATATTTCGGAGTTAATTACGAAAGTTTTTGTATTTGGATAGTACATTTTAGCGTGTGTTGAAAAATTTTCTGTTTCTTGATTGCAGATTAAGGCATTTGTAATAAAAGTTTTTTTTCATAATTTCTGGTTTCGGAGGTTTTTAATAATTTGTTAGTGTTCGTTTTTCAATTTTTTTTATTATGACTAAATGAAGACGTTGCAGTTTCTAGATGTTTTAAGTAAGAGTGCTTTGTTTCTTAAATGCGTAAAAATTTGTATGGAATAATTGTGTATGTAACAGAATTCTTACGCTGTTGTTAAAAATGATTAGTGCTATTTATTCTGGTTCTGATAGGTTTTACGCAATTTAGTAATTCTAAGTAATTTTAATAGTATTGAATTTGTAACTGATAAGTACAAAGTATCTCGTTTTCTATGAGGCCGTATGTTTTTATAGGGATATCATGCGTTATGATGTTAAATTCGAAGAAGCATTTAAAAATGCCTAGAATTATGTACCTTTGGGTTTATATTTATCTGTTTGTTATGTCTTTTAGGTACAGAATGGTATCTTGATAAATTATGCTGTTGGGTGTGATTATAAATTTTATTATGAGTCAAACCTTAGCAGCAGTGTCAAGAATAAACGACAAAAGTCGATCGATTTCACTAAATTCAGTTGTTAAAGAAGGTGTTCATGTTTTCGTGTTTAGTAAGATGATTTTGTTAACCATTGTCTGTTATAAAAAAATATTAGGCTAATTGCATGGCACAGTCAGTATGGTATGAGACATTAAAGAGAGCAGAGACTAGAGATCAGAGTTTGAGAACTATAGGGAAAGTGATATTTGATATAGGAGATTAACCAGCCTGATGAGAAGTAAGCTGCTGCGAAACGAAACACTGAAAGCTGGTTGTGTAACCAAGCCAACACCGAGACTAGGGTAAGCTCCAGGTAGCAGTGATGGTCAGGATATTACAATGGTAGGTGTAGTGTACGTAGTATACCAGAGTCAGGTCCGGAGATATAGGTATCTGGGTGATCTGAGTAAATGAGAGTGTAAGTGCATGGGTGTATAAGGTAAATATTTGAAAAGCGTGAGCAACAACTTTTGGATTAGTGACGAACCCGAAGACAGTGACTGTTACGAGGTGTGCATGACGTGGTGTGCCTGGGTGTGTGTATATGTGTATGTGTTTTTCAGGTAGGTGTGGGTTTCTGGCAGCCGAGCCGAAGAGAAGTATGACAGTGAGGATGACTGGAGCTTATCCAGATTGATAGAGGCATACTGACCTTGAAGACACCTTGTATTGATGCATATATTTATATGAGTGAGGGGAAGGGCCGACTTGAGTATTAGGAGTGTGTAATGAAGCGAGTTAATAGTGCAAACTTGCTGTGAAATTTATATCATTGATTGTGTTAATTTCTGATAAGTGACCCCTTTTTCACTCTTTATTTTTCTTTTAGGGGTGTTCAGCGTTCCCGAGCTAAATACCTATAGTAGAACTCCTGGAGGAAAAAGATTTAGTGTGTAGGAACTAGGTGGGGGGATCAGCCTCGTCTCAATTTTATCGTTGTAGGTTTTTTTCACACTCACTTTTTCAGCGACCTAGTTTTTTGAAACTGTCATAATTTTTTGATTGTTTTGATCATTATCGAGAAAGTTCAGTGAAGATAAATTTGATCAACATATTCTTAGAAAAAAGAAACAGATCCAGGTCTAGACTAGATGTTAAATTTGGTAGGGATAGAGTTAGGAAGCGAAAGTTGCTGGTGAGCTGGTGACCAATCGATCGTGCGTTAGTATTGATTTCTAGATGCGGCTGCTAGGCAAAAGACACCATATGGTATTATTATACGTTATCGGCTGCGGGTTGGCGTTTTTAGACGTGATAGCATTTAATTTTAATAACTGCAAACATTTTATATTCAATAACAGTTATGGTCGTGCTGGTATTAAACGAGATTTTATTTCAGGGTTTTTAAAATGAAGTTCTTGTTAGAAGTGTTTGACTTTAATGTACATCAAATAACCTTTTAAGTTTTAATAGTTAGTGAGCTAGTCATTAGACAAATAGTACTAGTGTCTAGTCCGTCAGTTCTGCAGTAGTTATTGTACGTAAGTTAAGTTACGTAAGCTCATGAGTGATACTTTCATATTTTAAGAGTTATTTAACTCCTACTGAACTATAAATTTATTCAAGAGATAATTTGAGCGTAAAACTCTCATTTTTAATGTTAAATTACTCTCTTTCCTTTATTTTTTAAGAATATAATGATGCGATGATGGATGTTATATCCATTCTTACGTATATAAATGTGTAGCTGGTATTGAAAGATGTTTTAAAGAATGATACATATATACAGCATGATATGTAACGGTGGCATTTCCCGAGAACTGCGTGTAGAGCTATTTTTTATGACACGAACCCAGTTGGAATTAATTTTTTAGGGCAAATAGCTTTTAAATGGAAGCTGATTTAGAATACGTTCCAAATAACCCCTAAATGGAGTTGGAAGGCTATAGCGCGTGCACATGAACTCGCGACGTTGCCACATTGTTATTGGAGCTTAGTCTGTAAGCAGTGAGAACTATATTCATGTGCGCACGCAAAAGTGTCAGCTACTGCTGGTAACTTAAAGGTTGGATGTAAAAATTTTTACCTTATGGTAAATATTGTCTGCTCCTTATGTTGTCAGTTGTTTATCCACGCGCTTACTGTCTTTCTCGCTCTCATGTTAGACAAAAATATCTTGAAATTTTTATACTTAAGTAATGTTACCTCAAATAAAAGTAAAATACCATATCAGTAGGAATTTTTCCACTCCACACAATGGTATTTTTGCAAAAATAGTCGGCCTCTAGTCCGGTATCTCAAGTACAATACAGTCGGGTACTTGCCGAGCATTTCCTCGGGTACTTCCAGGGCACTTCCCAGGCACTGGGTGGGTACTCCCCGGGCACTTTCTCGGGAATTTCCTCGGGTACTTCACGGGTACTTGGCGGGTACTTCCTGGGCACTTCCCGGGTACTTAGCGGGTACTTTCCGGGCACTGGGTGGGTACTCCCCGGGCACTTTCTCGGGAATTTCCTCGGGTACTTCCCAGGCTCTTGGCGGCTACTTCCCGGGCACTTCCTCGGGTACTTCCCGGGCACTTACCAGGTTCTTCCCGGGCACTTGGTATGGACTTAGTTCAATTAAATTTACTTTCTGTATGTTGTAAACAATTTTTTATTTTTAATGTGTCAGTTTAGTCAGTTTATATTGATGGTTAAGTTTAAACTGAATAAAAATGTACATCAAACAAACATTTTATTAACGTGACATTTTTAAATTATTATTCAATACACTGTTAAGTTTATGATTTTTTTTAATAGATGTTCTTTGATATTTGTTGAAATTATTAGATAGCATTTAGAGCATTTTCAAACATATTATTTTAAAGTATGTAAATTAGGATGATGAATGAATGAATTTTATGAGCAATATCAACTGTAATATACTTCGATTATTGCAATTTATGAATGGACTCGTTCTAAATCGTGTACAGACGACATACCCAGGAACGTAAGCAAGACATACTTAACAACAATATTTTTGACTAAGAGGCCGACTATTTTTGCAAAAATACCATTGTGTGGAGTGGAAAAATTCCTACTGATATGGTATTTTACTTTTATTTGAGGTAACATTACTTAAGTATAAAAATTTCAAGATATTTTTGTCTAACATGAGAGCGAGAAAGACAGTAAGCGCGTGGATAAACAACTGACAACATAAGGAGCAGACAATATTTACCATAAGGTAAAAATTTTTACATCCAACCTTTAAGTTACCAGCAGTAGCTGACACTTTTGCGTGCGCACATGAATATAGTTCTCACTGCTTACAGACTAAGCTCCAATAACAATGTGGCAACGTCGCGAGTTCATGTGCACGCGCTATAGCCTTCCAACTCCATTTAGGGGTTATTTGGAACGTATTCTAAATCAGCTTCCATTTAAAAGCTATTTGCCCTAAAAAATTAATTCCAACTGGGTTCGTGTCATAAAAAATAGCTCTACACGCGGTTCTCGGGAAATGCCACCGTTACATATCATGCTGTATATAGAACAAAGCATAGATATTTAATATTATTTTGATATTGCATAAGCAAAAAAGAGAGCGATCATACGCGTGAATACGTGAGTATACGTGTGTGTGCATGCTTGAATATTCCACGTTAATGCGTAGTGCCAAGCCACCAGTTAACGTCGGTCTACTGTGATATTCACACCACATTGTAGAATTGTTTACAGGTAACGTACCATTGTAAAGTGTCCGTGTAAAAGGACTCTGATTATAGAATTAAGAATTGTTAATCTCGTTTTGCAAACTTTTATATTATACTTTAATTGGAATATAGTCTTGTTAAATAAAAGTGTTGTATTGTTGTTTTATTTTTTGATAAGTGTTATCTCATGCTGCAAATCTGCAAATTTCTTCTTTGTCTTGTCCTTCTCTTCTTCTGTTACATATTCGGCTCATAAAATAAATTAAAAAGTCTATATTTTATGAAAAACTTAAATCAACTTTATTATTTGACCTGTATTTTATATATTGTTGTAAGGTTAATACTGCTAATTAGTAAGGTTCTACTAAAAGTTTCATTCTCTGCAACTGTTGGTTTCGCCAAATGAGAGCCTTTTTCTAAAATTTGTATACGTCATTGTTTTTTGCATGTAATGGAATTTTTTTTATGTGTCATTAACTGAACTGCTTGTTGATAAGTAGAAAAATTTAATTAAAAACAGTTCATAAGTAAGGATCGTGGTTTAGTATACGCAACTGTAAATCAAAGTTAAATATACTTACAAGGTATGTTATAAAAGGAATGATCACGAGTCCAAGACCACTTATGTAAGCGGAGAATCCAATAGCAATGCCCCTTAATCGTGTGGGATATAACTCTCCAGCAAAAGGATATATTATGAGAAATGAAGCCGATATAGCTGATTTGGATAGGAGAAAAAGTACAAGAGTAGACAAAACAGCATCTGAAACAAGCAGCAAGTAAAAAGTTGTTTATTACTTACTATACAAAGATTTATTTTATTGTCCATAGTGAAATATATTCTACATAGTCATACATATTTCATAGTTTATAATTTTAAATATATAGTTCGCATGCACTCTTATGTCATTTTCTCCAAACTTTCTTTAAGTAATGACTGCCTTTTCTCACATCTATCTGTGTATACCAACAAGTTTTTACTGTGAGTTTAAGAGTCATATCCACCCATTGAAGACAGTTATTAACCGTTTTTTAACAAAAACCGGTTTTTAATGGTATTGTAAATATAGAGCTTAAGACAATGTGAAATAGAGATAACTACCATAAGGTAAACAGCCTCAGGTCAGCTATGTATTTTTCAATATATTTCGGAATTTGCCTCATATAGCTTATTGCTAACGAAACTAAATTTGTATACAAAAAAAAATGTTTATATTCTGGTACATTATATATTTCTATTGATATGTAGCACAAGCACTTAAATACACTGTTTTAGTGTAAATATGCATGAAATGTGACTGATAGACGTGAAACATAAAAAAATTGAAAATACGTTTTTTCTAATGATATGCATTCGTACTCATTTTTTGGCTCATAATACTTATGTCTAGTAATAACACATAATTTTGTGGGCCTCATTTAGAAGCCTAAATGAAGCTTAGTGAAAAAAGATGTATAAAGGACGGGGAATTTTAGTCACTCAGCAGGTCAAGGAACCAAGTGATTTTATTTAAAATAGCAATTTAATATTACAAATTTGTTTTCAAAAAGAAAAAACAACAAGTTTGAAGAAAATAAAATTTTTTTAAATCCTTATAACCAAAACAAACTCATGAATAATAAGTTATAGAAGACAAGAGATGCAAACATAACTAGAAAAAACATATATCATACATGTACGTGAGCGTTGGTCCGTAATTTGTGGCTCTGAGATGGTAGGCACTGGTTGGCCCTAGTCAATGGCACCGCGAGTAGTTATTGCAACACAGTAGCTCATCACAACAAATTTCTAACTCCTGCACTACGGTCTTTGTGTCATGGTACGCTTACAAGGAGGAGGTACCCTTTTTCTACACCTGGGGAAAAGAGACTTTTCATGTAGGTCCACTATATCACCGTACACTTACTCGAAAAGAGTACGGTTCTCCTTACATTTTCTTACTAATACGCTGCTATAATTACCTAAGCTCTTTTATACATGTGTTTGAAGATATTATTCAAGGATACTACAAGGGTATTCTACTTTTTGACTTCCATGTATACGGTTGAATAACAACCATAAAATAACAAAGTAATAATTTCTTATACTTATTTAAAAAGCTGCTTTCAGAAATGCACAGACTACAAATCATGGGCACTTACTATAATAGATAAAAAAAGCTTAGAACTTAATTTTATATCAATTACACCTTATATCAAAGACTTAGTAAGCATTTTGTTGAACATCTGCCACTACCTAAGAATTGGTTTATAAATTTTTTTTACAAGATTCTACTAAGACATTAGTTTGGTTAAGTTTCGTTACCTCTCCAAGAATAATAGTTTTGCGACTTGTAATTTTGATTTTTTTGTACTGAAACGAAAATCTCTTAATTTTTATTAAGTTTTTTAAAAACGAAGTGGATGAACTTAATAAATGCAATTAGTTTGGTTCTTTTTGATTTTCGATAACGGAAACAAAACTAAATATATTTTAACTTTGTTATTTGGATGGAAGACATGAGATCCGCAAAGTGTAACCGTATGTACTGCCACCCTCGTGGCTACCTGCTCAAATGACTTGATGTATGTAAACGAAGCCTAGCTGTATTAGAAAGATGGAAGCAAAATCAGTAAAGTATGATTATTTATTGTGTTTGTACGTAAGAGCAATTAAGTTGATATAACTATAGAAAAAGTTGTATGTTTGATTAAGAAAAAATATAACTTTTCTCAATTGTATTTTATAATCAAGGTAAAAATAAAACTTTTTTCTTTTTTGAATGTTGTATGCTTTTAGTACCACGCCAAATACGATATAAATTACAATAATAATGTGAAAAAGGTACGTATACACATGTAAAAAGTCATTGTCTGATATTCCTTACATTATTAAGGTAATACTCATTCTATTCCGCTCGGACTTGAAAGCGTACAACCTTTAATAAAGGGAGAAAATTATATTTTTATCGTAATAACAAGATACGATCAAGCAAAATTATACTTTTTTTAATGAAGATACGATTTCGTTTATTGTTGTATTAATTTAATTACTTTTATTTACACATACAATAATTAGTTTTGTTTAAATGATTTTGCTCCTACTTATGCAATACGACATTCCTTTGTTTACACACAATGAGTAATTTCCACAGATGACCACGAGAGTGGCAGCATAGGCGATTACACATAGTGGATAGTAAAAGTGTATACTTTTTTTTAGAAAAAACACATTATTTAAATGATTTTGTTTCGTTTCGTTGACTGCTAAAGATTAATAATCGTGTTTCTTATCGTTTTTTTTTTTTTCTATAGTGTAATGAAAATGCCTTGATTTACTGTACATTTGTTGGAAAAAAAACAAAATCATAAGTAAGTTATAATCGGTTCCACTTCCTTTAACTTTGTTTTAAAACATTATCGAACTCCAATCAATTTTGTTACTTTGAATGGGAACATAACCTATTACAAATATATACTGTTTTTTTCAGAATGGAAACATTAACACACACAACTTTGTTGCAGTTCCTTTTGTGCAAAATAGTAATTATTATGATTATAGTTGTCACATTTTTTGTACCAAAACAAAAACCACTCTTTGTTAAGTGTTCTTTGAACCAAAATGGAGACATTTTGGGACTTTTCTGGATGACGATGTTCTGAACATAAATAATTTAATATCTATTTGGTTCTTTATTATGACAGAAAAACAAATTGAAAAGTATATAATTTGTTGTTAAAGAAGAACATTACCTTTGAATTAAGTAATTTAATTATATGTAATTGATTCATTTCTACAGTAAAATGCGGCTACTCGTTCTTACTAACAGAACATAACTACTTTATTTACTTAAATTTTCTAGAACTTACGAAACATTAATGTTATTTTTGTATGTTTTTCTTATGCAGTATCAGGATTGCAATATTAGATAGGTTTAAGAGACAGAGAAAACTTTGACTAAGATATCTTTGTATAGAAGAAAATGCATAAGAAATATCTAATTTTTTTCATCCATTTTAATAAACAAAGGTTTTGAAAGGCAGGTCAGCTTCCAGTGCTGTATAGTTAAGGTTTGCGTGTAAAATACGTTGATTTATTCTACCGATATCGTAATATTGGCTACGTATAGTAGGCATTTAGTCTTACTAAATTTACAGTACAAAAAAAAGACAGACAACTGCTTACTGTCTAGTTCTAAAATATAATAATAGAGTATTTACTTAATAAGATGGGGTTAATTTGCTGACAGTAGTGTGCTTCAATAAAAAAAAATACTAATAATTTAAGATTTTTAAATATTAGTGGTATAAATTGTATGTTTTTTAGAATAATAATTGTTATAGAAGTAATATTTTTTACTTTAACTATTATTATCGCACTAGGTTTCAATTTTTGTTATCAAAAGTCATATTTTTAAAATAATATAAGGTACTTTGACAGTTTTTTAAACTATAAAAAACTCTTTATATAAGTTTTTTACAAAAATAATAGAAATTAAGGCACACAAATGAGGAATTTTTAGAAGATTTAGTTATTGTACTTTAAGCTTACCTATTTTTATTGTACCTTACTTTAATGAGAGTCGATAGCTTTAAGAAAAATTATACCTTGATTATAAAAATATCGCACATAAACAGCAACTGCATTTTTATGGTATTAAGTACTCATTACCTTAAGAAATTTCAAAATATTTCATATTTTAAGTAAAAAGCAACAAATGTCAAAAGTAACCGTTATTACGAGCCTTTCATAGGTGATGACAGTATTGAGTCACACAATCAGAGAGATTTGAGTTAATATCTGTACATTACGCACCATGTTTAACTGTTATTACAACTTATTACATATACTGCTGTGGGTTCACTTTCTGAATAAAATTAAGATTAAAATCTTTGAAGACATGCAAAAACAAGTTTCAATGATTCTGTTTTAATATTACCATATAATACAGGCATTAATTTACATATACATATACATTTACCCAAACACACGTCTGGCACGATTAATTTGTACTCTAGTTCCGTTATACATGGAATAACTTTGTGTTGCAGTATACATATGAAAAAATATTAAAGCATTATATTATTTGAATTAGTACATATTTACACATCTTGTCTACGACTACCAGCAAACACATTTTGAAAAGTGTTTTATGTAAACTTTTTTGAAAATCAAATAAGTAACTTTAGTTCTTAGGTAGGGTCTTATCTAAAAAAGCACCTAAGATCCCACTTAAGACTTGAAGAAGATGGAATTATCCTTACAAAAATGACAAAATAGTTTTATAGCTGCGTTTTTAAATACCATCGAAGTGAAGTCACTAAAGTGGCAGCCTTGAATTCTGTGAGATCTACGCAATTTTTGTTTTGAGGGTGGACCCTTTTAAAAAATGTCAGGTGACTTTTGGGCATACAACTGTCATCTTAGATCTGAGGTAAGATCTCATCTAATATTCGTAGACACGACAAACCAAACGCAGTAGTACCTATGAGGTTGAAATATAGTTCTATTCAAAATTATACATGACTCTGCTTGAATTCGTTCATGTAAAATGCAAATCAGCTCAATGCAAGTGTCATAAGAACAATATTTTGGGTCAATGACTCTAATAGCCTTACGGTTTTGACCAATAACGCAACAACCTAGAAACTCAAACACAACATTTCTGAACTATTTTTCAACCACTTGGATTGATACTCTTATTATTTACTTTGAAAAACGTTTAATGATTTCATATATATTTGCACAACCAAATTATAATCATGTGATACAGTTTATAAAAT